TGGGGCCATTGCACCAAATCTTAGACTATCTCTTGCTTTCTAGAGGAAAATTCACAGGGGAGTCTGAGTCTAGTAACAAATCCTTAAAAATAAATTGAGCATAGTGGATGTATTACAAAAGATGGAAATCCTCCCTTCCCTTCAAAAATTTGTCATGATCTCACAGTAGAGTGTTCTCTCTAAATTCATAGAAAATTTGCCAGAATGGGAAATGTACTTTATGTTTGGGGAATTAAATAAGGAAAGAAGGCAGGTAACCACTATAAAGTCTAAATGCAAGAGAAGGCTCAGTAATATTGTACTTTCCAAGGACAAAGAGAAGGAGATTATTTTGAATCATTAGACAATCTTGTCTTGGTTATAAAAATGAAAAATACCAGATTCAGAGAAATTTATTCATCAAAGGCAGACTTATTATCTCAAAAGGACAAATGTCATGCCAATGTTTCTAAATGCTCTTCCATATCTAACAACCCTTCTGTCATTTGTAGACAGAATCTGATTCAGAAAACTTTATTTTATTTCTGAAGAAATGTGAAGATCAGGAATAAAAATAACCAATATATCAGCTCAAAGATATAGAAAGTATTTTTTTTCCTTTTTTTCTTTTTACTGTGCCAACATAACCAATTCATTAAATGATTACTCTTAAAAGAAAAGAGCAAAATAAATAAACACGAGTCTCTAGTTAAGCATCTAGTGGGTAAAAATAATAAAAACAGATAAATTTCCCACTTGCTTAAGTTGTTGTGATGTTACAATTCAGCTATACATATATAGAGAAAAATCACACATAGGAAAAATCATCTGCATTGTTTTATTGTTTTAACGCTCTTTGATGCGTCATAGAAGGGCTGTGAGTGAAAGGAAGACGTGAGGTGTGTAAATATAACAACCAAGGAGACTCGACAACACTAGACCTCAGTCTGAATGAGCAGTTTGTCAATATCTCCAGGTCTCCAGTGAACAGCAAGAATGGCTCTCAGGATACTGCAACTCTGTCTGCTTCCACCAGAGATCATAATTGGGCTATGAATTTTTATAATAGGAAGGTCTTCCTGTCATAGACAGAGATTGACAAAAAGTTTAGTTAATGTGAAAAGAATCTTAGAGTGGTATGAGTAGGGTACATGAATATCACTTAAATAAGTAATGCCTTTACTTCTTTTTTTTTTTTTCTTTAAAAATAAATGTCTGTTAGAGTTTACTGGTTAAAGCTTCTAAATTACAGCTTGTTTCTGAGGATTGCTCAGCATGCTGGTTTTTTGCCCAAGGACATGATATGCACTTTGGGGAATTCAAGAAGCCAATTGAAGCGAGTAGAGGTGATTTATAAATCGAAACCAAATGATAGCAAAAGATGTGAACTAAAGCTATTTCTTCATCTGCAAAGAGCTAATTGGGCACATTTCAGGCCAAGTCTCTAAAGATACAGCTCATGAACTCTGTCTTCCTGATGCTGTTTTCATTACGACTCTCAATAGAGGATTGGCTAATGCTAGGGAAATCCCCATCAAGGTGGCCTGTACATGACACTGCAGATTTGCCTCAGGAAGAAGAGAGAAGAAAAGGAAAACATAAGGAGAGATTGCAGGCAACTAGCTGCTTACAGAGTTCTATTTGCCTTATCTAATTTATCTGAAACTGAAGAGTTTGTCTCTACAGGCAAATTTTGCTTCACAAAATCTCCTGGGGCTTTTGTCTTTCTGACATATCAGAGTTTAGCCAGGTCTTATTTCTTATTTGGTGGTTGTTAGAGTAAATTTTGATTCTTTGGTCCTCTGTCAACTATTTGATGTGGGAGATTGAATACAGCATTTATGACCTATATATTTCTGGAACAATCTGTTTGCCCCTAAAGCTGCAACATTATAATGATAATCTTTAATTCAATTATCATCTAAATCTCACAACCTATTCTCACTCACCTTAATATTTCTAGGTAAAATGTGGTATACTACATTGGCATGTCATTTTAAAAGAATCAGATATCAAGAAAAGAAAGACATTGTAGATATTCACAATGTTGCATGTGAGAAAGTTTTTGAGTGATTTCAGAGGCCCAAACAAATGCATTGAGGAAGCAGCATTGAGGGTATGTCTACATCGGAACCTGAAATTAGGATCTGAGACAATAAACTTTTGGAAGGTATTGGTGGAATCAGAATCCTAGGAAATCATCCTGAATAAAATAGCCATATTGTGCCAGGTGTAGACATTTATAATCCGAAATAGGGGGAATTTTGCTAGATGATCTCTCCAACTCTTTTTCAGTTATAAGAGTCTAATTTCATTCCATAAAAATTATAGGAAAACTTCCTTTATCATTGTATAAGTATTATAAATGTATGCATGTCCATGAGTTAGCTCATCAAAGATACTGTGTGAGAAGAAGTACTCAAAAATATTCTGTAAACCTCTATAAAACTCTTTAGATAGATTTTTATATTTAGAAATTACACTTTGGAAATAAAGTTTTAATTTTAATTTTCTGAATTCTAAAAATATCATTAAGACAAATTGTCTCTACATACTTACGTACAGCTATCTAGCTCCAGAAATGTTAAGGATCCTTTGTGAGGTAATTAACTTTATTGACTTGTTTGTATTTTTCTAAGTATTTAATTGACCGCCCCACTAAAATTTAAACATATACAAATAATTTATCATTCAGAGGATAGGGTTTGATTCCTAAGATCAATACATAATCATAGAAATTTAGAGAAAGAAGGGATCTTATTGGTCACTCAGTCTAAACATACTCATTTTATCAGGTAAAAAGTGGAGACAAGAGACGAGTGATCATTCGGTCCTACACCTCCATGCCCAGATGGTGTAAGGCCACCAATCCTCTGACATCTAGTCTAGTACAGGTCCCTCTTATCTATACTGCATTAGTGTTATATCTACTTGTAGTTTTAAAATTTTGTAGATGTTTGATTGTAAATTAGTGTTTCGTATTTTTTCTTTAATGCTAACTTATCATCAGAAACCACAGGAAACAGAACTACAAATATTCATCCCTCTAGTGTAAGTTATTCCTGTACTTCTTTCCTGGACATTAGAATTTTTTCTTCTATAAGAAATAAGATTGGGAATCAGGTAGAAAATCTTACATTGTAATTCAAGTGCATCATATTTCAAAAAAAAATAAATAAATAAAACCAAAAACAAAGTATTTAAGTTGGGAAAATCAGTTTCAATGTGATTCAGGTTTAATTAATGCCCTTAACCTATATCTCAACAACTAAAAAATAATTTTCTTAGCTTGATAAAATAATCCATCCCAAAGACAAAGACTCAAATTAAATCAAAGAAGTCTTCCTTTAAAAAGAAGATTCACAGCCATCACAATACATAAAACTAATGATTTACATCTTAATTTGTAACCAAAGTGGATTTTATACTGAATTCTGATAATGGATACAAGTTCAACAGTTGAATTCAATCAAATAAGTAATCTTAAATAAAATGAGGGTAATCTCCTCTAGTGCATACTTATCCTGTGTAACAGAAATCTGTCATGAAGTAAATTCCTTCAAGTCAAGCAGATTGCCCAAATTGGAAACATATTGGAAGGATGAATATACTCAAATAATCAACAGAAGAGCAAAATATAAAGACAGAAACATTTTCTGAACAGTGCAGATCCTTTCCCTTCAAAAAAAAAAATCCATGTGAGGGGAAATCTGATTGTCAGATTTACTGGATAAACTGACCAATAATTGCTTTACTAATCCTTTTTAAATACTTGTTTTATATTTTTACGACTAGCAAAATTATTCCTATCAAAGTTATTTCTGCTGAAACTGAACAAACAGGTTGCTCACAATATGTACCGAAATACATAGTTTGGAAAAGCAAGATCTCCCTTCACCCCAATTCAATCTTTCTGCTGGTGAACACTAATTTGTTTCAATATATGTTAAAGGAACTATTCTTACAATTAATGTTTAGGACAGGCATGGTATTTCATGGTTTAGAAGCTATCAAGGCATGAGCACAGCTCCTACCATCCTAAAACAGCCCCTCGGTAACAAGTGACTAGTTCGTGGTCTGAGTGGCTCAGACAAGAAGGGGGGCAGTCTTTAGCCAATAAAATCCAACTCAGCGCTACCCCACCCCCATATTTTCGGTCCCTTCTGCAGCAACTGCTTCCTTAACCCTTGTGCTGAATCCATTAACATCTAGGTATTTAACTCACTCTTGCCTTGGGGACTGCTTGTGGTCCATCTGCTTTAAGGGGATCCTTCCCAGCACCCCAGGGAAAGCCACGTGCTGGAGCATCTGGATGAAACTGGTGGACTCGGTCTATCAAACCCACAAGAATTCAGCTTCCAAAGAGCTACACTGACTGTTTGATTCGTATCAGGTGGCTCCCAGTGCCCCCCACTATAAAGTAAGCTGCTCGCAGCCAGGGAGTTTGGTAGGTTTGACTTGTTACTTAATGTTTCTCTCCCCGGAAACCCTCTCCTAGGCTTACAGTGTGTTTGGCACAGGATAGGTGCTCAATAAACACACTTTGCATAGGAGAGGGTTATGTTGAGCAAAGGCTGGAAGGACTTAAATCTTAAAGGTTTTCCTAAATGTGTCCAAGAAAAGTGAAAGAGAAAAAAAAAGTGAATATCAGATTATCGTGGTTGCAGTTACTGTTTTTAGCCAACCTTTAGGAATTTCACCGGTGTTAGCCAGGGAGCTGGGGGTGGGGTGGGGATCTGGGCTGGAGGGTACCGGGTACCCATTGCCCCACGTCAGGAGGTGCAGAGCCGCAGGTCACGATCTGAGACAACCCCTCGGTACCGACAGCTGTTGCTTGTCCCGGGTGAGGCTCCGGGCCCCCGGGCCCTGACTGCCCTCTGCCTTCTCGGGGCGCTGGAGCATGCCCAGTGGCAGCGCCGGAGCCACCGCGGGCTCTGCGCGGGCGCGCTCCGCTTCTCCGGGTTTTAGCAGGAGCCTACGGGGGGCGGGGTGTGGGGTCCCGCGGAGCCGGGCAGCCTTGGGCGCGAGTGGGGAGCTCGCGCGGCGCGCAGGGCTCTCTCCCGTTGCGGTTGCTCGGGAGATGCGGGAGCGCGGCACCCCGCAGCTCCACCTGGCGCGCTGAGCACCGCGCGGGGAGCCCGGGGGCGGGCGGCGGGGGGCGCGGACTGCGGTAGAATGCGAGCCGCGCTCCTCCGGCGCTGCGAGACGACGCGCCAGCACTGTCAGGTGCCCGGAGCCCGCCGCCTGTCGCTCCACTAACTTGCCACTTGGTAGTGTCTAGTCTCCGAGGCTCCGTTCGCTGTCGGGTGGTGGGGGGCGGGGGAGTTCGAGGGTCTGCGGTAGCCGAAGGAGGGACCCTGCGAGCGGGAGCCTGCCTGCTGCCGCTGCCTCTCCCCCTCCCTGGCGCTCCCCTCCCCCCACCCCGTCGCCGCCGCTTTCCCTTCTGCCAATTCGGAGAGCGACGGGTGTCTGTGACATGAGATCGCTGCCAAGTGACGGGCCCCGAGTCTGAAGTGCCCGCGAGGAAGTGAGCGCCAGCGCGGGCCGCGGGCGATGACAGCCATGAAGCAGGAACAGCAGCCCACCCCGGGGGCCAGGGCGAGCCAGGCGCAGCCGACCGACCAGGTGAGAGTTGGCGGCTGCGGCCAGGCCCTCCCGGGAGGGCTGGCTCCTGTCCGCGCTGCCCCCGCCTCCCCTCCCGGGCTCCGCTCCCACGCCTCCCTCTCCCACCCTCCCCCGCCCCACTTGCAGGCTCTCCCTGCTCGTCCATGGACTCTGCGGGAAGTTAGAGCATCTGAGCGCGCTCCGCGCCGGGCGAGAGGATGCGCAAGGTGGAGAGCCGCGGGGAAGGGGGGAGAGAGGTAAAGGCTGAAGGTGTCCCGGGGAGCCCCGGCGGGCGGGCCACCGTGGGAGGGAGAGGCAGCGGGGGTCAAGGAATCGGGCCCCTTGGCTCCTCATTAATGCGCGTTGGAGAAACCCGCCGCGCTCCCGAAGACGTCCGCGAGCGAGCGGGGTTCAAGCCCAGTCTCCCGCAGCCGCGACGAGCGCTGGCCGAAGCGCCGGGAGTAGACAGATGACCTTTAAGCCGGCAGAGTTTTTCCTGTCCTTTCTCGTGTTTTTAATGAGACGGAGGGGGAGTGTGCTGGGGGCGCGAGCTGGGGTAAGAGGGTTTGCCAGGCGTCTGTAGTCTGCGGAGTGGAACGGGGCCGGGGAGCAGAGAAGCATTAATTATTAAGAGGAGCTGGGAAGGTGCTGGCCACAGTGATTCGTTGGGTCTAGATGTGTTGTCTCTGCAGAGATGAGGTGCCCTGTGTTGGCGGAGAGCTTTTCCTGTCTCTTTTCCGTCCTTCCGCACCCGCCGCCCCCTTTTTGTTTTGGTCATTAGGGGTTTGTATCATAAATGTAAGGTGGATCCTCACCTCGTCTCTGCCCCTGGGTTGGGGTGATTTGGGAGTTCGGTGTGGCTTTTTTTTTCCCCAAAGTTGGAGGGTCGGGAGCGCCCAGATGCCCTGGCAGGAGGAGGGAGGCAGTGCTGAGCCGGGCGGCGGCGCGGTCACGTTCACATCAATTCGGGACTCGGGGCAGAGGGAGCTGCGCTCGGGCCAGCGGTTAACTCCGGGGCTGGAGGACCCAGGCACTGGGGCGGGGGAGACGAGGCTGTTGGCCCGGAGCGCACTGTCAAAGGCTGCTGGCGGCGTTCCTGGCAGATACCCTCGCAGCTTGTTGCTAGCACCGGGATGGGGGTGGAGGGTGGTGCGAGCATCTAGGTTCCAGCAGCAACTGGGCTCTTCGCGTGTTCTCAGCACCGAGTAGTGTTAAGGGGAGCTGTCCAAATCGCCCAGGAGCGGCCGGCGAGGCAGAGGAGGCGATGCAAGGGATGCTGTTATTAATATTCCAGACTTGGTCATCTCTTCTGGCTTGTGGTCTCGTTTCTCCCCTTCCTTCCCCCTTCTCATGTCCCTCGCATATGTTTCACACAGGTGGTGGGGATTATTCAATGTCGTAAGGGTCTTTTTCCATTTATTTTGTGTCTGTCTGTGTGTGAGGGGGGGAATGTTTGCAGTTTTTACAAAGCGTTCGTTTTCTGAAACTGTCCTCTTTGCTGCATACCCTGAGATAGGTCTAAAATATTAAAACACTATATCATATGTCCCTTCCTCTTCTACTTCTCCCCCCACCCCCAGCATACATCACAATGTAGAAACTGGTTAGCAGACGTAAAAAAATAATAAGAAGAAGAATTTCAGGAGAGGAGCATGGATTTAACATCCTCTTTCAGGCTGACAGCCCTTAAATTTCATTAACAAGCCTCTGAGCCTCTCCACTGCTCTTGGAATGATGCTACCAATAAGAATGATTAGTCAGGTGAGAGTCCCCACATGAAATCTTTGCTCACTAACCTGTGACACCACCTGGTTACTTGAGGTGCTGCAAACAGTTCAGTGATGGTGGAGGTGGGGAGGCTGAAGAAGGAGAGAGCACACAGAAGCTGGAAATGTATGTGTAAATAGTGGACACGCTGTATATGCATGGCAAATCCTTTTGTTGGGACTAATCTGGTACTTAAAATTCATATCAAGAGATAGGTTCAAGCTCCATCCATTTTTCCTGTTAGTGTGCATTTTTTATGGCCACTTCAAATATTCAGGGAGTGGCCACATTGCAGAAACTCTTGCTTTAATTGAATATGTTTAAATGCTTTTTTTGAGCATTTACATGATTTTAAAATGTCAGTGGTATGCATTTTATGCATGTGTTGAAATAAAAGAGGTTGATTTTGCAAGGAAAGTCAGACTGAAATATACATGGCAGCATCCCAGTGAGGGTTTCTCAAGCACTCCCAGGAAACACCTATATCTAGTATATTCTTTGTTCAAAGCTTGACATCTGAAATTATGGCCAAATAATGTGCATGATTGCTGTGGAAGCTTAAACTGCTCTAAGACTACTATGTTTTTATCAGCCATGTTAGTCATTATAGTTTAATTCTGTAGTTGTCACATGACTTCCATGAACTATTAGATATAATACCTTCATAAATATGTGAGTAATTCTGCTGGTTTCTATAATATTTCAAAAAAAGAAGGTTCACAAATTTAAGTAAAAATGTACCTTTATGAAATTCTACCCAGTTGTTAAATAGGGGGTATATTCCAGCGAATAAGTCACTGTCTATTGATTTTGAATGATTTAAGCTTATGAATATTGCCCAAAAGGTCTTTCCCTCTCCATGGTGGATATTTTTATGAAATCTCACAGAAGCCTTGTCCTGAGGCCATCAAACACCTATTTCCACTGACAGCACAGTGGAACACCATAGTTCTTCCTGAGTGAAAACGGTTATGAACCATATAATTTGGTTACTGTTAGTCCTGTAGAGGGCTCAACCTGCCTGTTTCACTATCTGTGACTGTCCTCTGGCACAGGGTGCCATGGCAGAAGGACATCCCCTTCCTCCCCAGAGAGTAGCTGTAACAGGAAAGCAGGGTCTGTATACTTTTTTATTAAATATTCTGAATCATTGGAAATAGTTTTATCATCTTAACAATCTTTCTTTTAAAGTTTCATTGATTGAACAAATGTTTACAACAGTTATTTTTGTTGTTTATCATAACACTTCACATTTAACAAATGTCTAAAAATAAAGGCTTTGACATGGATAGATACAGACATTTCCACTTAACATGATCAATATCTCATTTTACATTGAAGGATCCAAAATCTTGAGTGGCTAATGGTAATTTATTATTATGTTTAAAAATGACTTCCTGAATGCTTGCCACAGGGAGAGAGTACTGTTTTGGGAGTTGATAAAATAATATTTATTGAATGCATTTTTCTATTGGATTCTCAAAGCAATGTTTTGAGGTGGACCATATTGCTATTCCCATTTTAGAGATGAGAATACAGAGGATTACAGAAATCAAGCAACTTGGCCAAGCTATAGTCTTTAAAGGTAGAGGTGGGACTCAGACAGAAGCTCATTTACATCAGAAGTCCTACCTTCTAACATCTGCACAACCACAATACAACACATTCCTATTATAATAATGTTAAATAATTGCAAATTGGATGTGTCTGTGTGTGTGCGCACAAATTTATCTTGAATGTAAAATGGATAAAGACTTTTTTTAAAGCTTCAACTATAAATATAAATAATAGTTCTTGAAATTTTAGAGTTCATTTAATATCCTCTCTATTAATCTAAATGATACAAAAAGAATCAGATAGATACTCATAAATACATGGGACCTTTTTAAAAAAATTTTTTTGTATCACTTGTCCCTGATAATGAGACTCTCAAGGTTTGTTAAATAAGTACCTTTTTAATAGTCAATCAGGCGAGATTTAGAATTTGCTCACATTTCCACCAGGTGGCAACCTTCTGCTGAATCCAATTGGTAAAAAGATTGCCTCAAATGCAGTGACTGTCCTCTCCGCTCCAAAAACAAAACAAAAATAACCACACAAAAATAAAAAAACTGAAAACAACCACACTTTCTGGAGTATGACTAAAAACTGTATTTTTAAAAGTAACTATTTGGCTACAAAGGCAGTATTAGTTATGCATTTTTCTTTAAAAGATGCATTTTGGTGAAAAACCAGTCTCTTACAATTCAACATATAACAGCCTCTTGATGAAATAATTCATGACCAGAATTGAGATTAAATAGTTAATACTAAATATGTAAAATGCCTTCTGCAAAATACCCATTGGACTTCTGATCTTTAGGTAATATTCACCTACAGGGTTTCAGTGCAAAAATTGGCGTTCAGTATTTTTTTCTCTTTTGGTATTCATTATTTTTATTTCACCTTTGGTCTAGCAAATCAGATCAAAATTTTCAAATGTATGCTTAATGAAAAATTATGAAAAAGTCATTCTTCCATATGTCCCTTGCTAATATATAAACATGTCAAAATTAGTAAGCTGTTGCTTTTAACACAGAACCTTGAAAAAAGCCTTTATAAATCATGCTAAGAAACTTTACTCAATAGAAAATTTATTAATTTATTACTTTTCTTCTAATAATTCAACATAAAATGCCATATCTAATGGGGTGAGAATTCTATATAATTTGGTTATAAAAGATAATTTAGGTAAGTAAAGGTATTATGTAGAAGTCTTTATGATTTGAGAGAATATAAATTTCCTACTCCTTTAATTTTTTATTATAATTATACATATGTAATATTAAATATGTAACATAATATATTATATAATAGATATAAACATTGTATTTATGTATAAGGCATTTTATCTATTGAGTTAAGAACATATCACAAAATATCCCTTACTTAGAATCTTCTAATATGGGTATATATCTAGTTTTTTATTTTAGGATCTGAGCAAATTGCATTTTTAAAAAAGATTAAATTATATAAAACAAGTTAAAGAAAATTGTATTATTAAATATTAATGCTGCATTATCTTATGAAGCACATTATATTAGAAGCAAAACATACTTAAACCAAATTTTTCCCAGTCTGAGTAAAAATAAAGCTATTTTAATATTTTCAGTTTCTTGAATCATTTATGATTACAGAATGTTTAGTACTTACAGGCATATTTTTAATTTGCTTGCAGTATACTGAGTAGCATACACAGTGCTGGAATGTTGTGA